GAGACCCCTGGAGAAGACGGCTCGGGGCCACCAATATATACTTGTTGTTTTGGACTATGCTACTCGCTACCCAGAAGCTGTCCCCCTGCGGAACATGGCTTCTAAAACTATAGCCAAAGAGCTGGTGGGGATCTTTGCCCCAATGGGGCTACCAAAGAGGATATTAACCGACCAAGGAACCCCATTTATGTTGAAGCTAATGAAGGACCTCTGTACGCTGCTCCATATACATACCCTGAGAACTTCGGTCTACAATCCACAGACTGATGGGTTGGTAGAAAGGTTTAACCGAACCCTCAAGGCTATGATAAGGAAGGTGGTAAGTTGGGACGGGAAGGATTGGGACACCCTACTACCCTACCTTATGTTTGCTATCCGGGAAGTACCTCAGGCCTCAACTGGGTTTTCCCCCTTCGAGTTATTATATGGGCGTCACCCCCATGGCATACTAGATATCGCCAAAGAGATCTGGGAAGAGGAACCCAATGAGGGGAGAAATATAATAGAGCATGTAATACAGATGCGATACCGGATAGCCTGGGTTACCCCTATTGTACGGGAACATTTGGAGAAGGCACAGAAGGCCCAGCGAACCCATTACAATCGCCAGGCAAAAGTATGACAGTTCCAACCAGGGGATCGGGTTATGGTGTTGGTACCAATGGCAGAAAGCAAGCTTCTGGCCCAATGGCAGGGGCCCTATGAAGTGGTTGAACCTGTGGAGGAAGTAACCTACAAGGTGCGGCAGCCAGGACGCAGAAAACAAGAACAGATTTATCACATTAACCTTCTGAAACCCTGGCATGCACAAGAGGCATGCACAACGGTCCAAAAAGACCTAACCCAGGAAAACAAGCCTTCCAAAAAGGTGAGAGTGTCTCCCGATTTAACACCAGACCAGAAGAATGAGGTGTCTGAGATCATCTTCCGGAACCAAGATGTGTTCTCGACAAAACCGGGTCGAACAACCGAGACATATCACCACATCGTCACGAACCCTGGGGCCAGAGTAACAATGAGGCCCTATCGGGTGTCAGCGGCAAAAAGGGAGGAAATAAAAGCAGAAGTAAAATAATGCTGGAGTTGGGGATCATCGAAGAATCCCACAGTCAGTGGTCCAGCCCAATCGTGCTGGTGCCCAAACCTGATGGCACCACAAGATTTTGCAATGACTTCCGGCGACTAAACGAAGTATCCCAGTTCGACGCGTACCCCATACCTCGCATAGATGAGCTAGTGGACTGTCTGGGTAATGCCCGGTACTTGACTACCCTAGACTTGACAAAGGGGTACTGGCAGATTTCCCTTGCAGAAGATGCAAAGGAAAAACTGCGTTCTCTACACCAAAGGGTCTTTTTCAATATACTGTCCTCCCTTTTGGACTACATGGGGCCCCAGCTACCTTCCAGCGCCTCATGGACAAGCTATTACGCCCGCATAACAGTTATGCTGCTGCCTACTTGAACGATGTGGTCATTCATACCCCAGACTGGGAAACCCACCTGGAGAAGGTGGAGGCAGTCCTCGATACCTTCAGGCGAGCTGGCCTTACAGCAAACCCTGCCAAGTGCGCTGTAGGGTTTACAGAGGCCAAATATATTGGCTACATTGTGGGAAAAGGTCTGGTAAAACCCCAAGTGAACAAGTTAGAGGCCATCCAAAACTGGCCACAACCAAGTCACAAGAAACAAGTCCTGGGGTTCCTAGGTGTGGTGGGATATTACCGACGATTTATCCCCCACTTTGCCACAAGGGCAAGCCTCCTGACAGACATAGTGAAAGCCCATGGACCTGATCTGGTGAGATGGTCTGACGCAGCAGAGGAAGCATTCACAGACCTACGGACTGCCCTCTGCAGTAACCCTGTACTGATAGCCCCTGATTTCACCAAGGAGTTTATCTTGCAGATGGATGCATCGGAAGTAGGGTTGGGGGCCGTTCTATCACAGGTGGTCGGGGAGGAGGAACACCCAATTCTATACCTCAGTCGGAAACTCCTTCCAAGAGAACAAAAATATGCAGTGGTGGAGAGAGAATGCCTCGCTGTAAAATGGGCCATGGAAACATTGCGCTACTACCTGCTCGGGTGCAGATTTGTCCTCGTGACCGACCATGCCCCTCTTCAATGGATGCAGCGGAACAAGGAGAAGAACACAAGGGTGACCAGATGGTTCTTATCCCTCCAACCTTTCCAGTTCCATGTGCAACACAGAGCAGGCAGCCATCATGGCAACGCCAATGGTTTGTCACGTGTGCACTGTCTGGCGTCCCAAGCTGCCCAACCCCTTGGCGTTGAGCAGGGGGGAGGGTTATGTGACAGACCCAGGCCAGTAGGGTACAGGAGTCTGGTAGAGGGCAAATATACTGGTCACTGGATGAGTAGTTTTCTGTTCCCTGAATGACCAGAGCAGGGGCTGCACTAGAGTAATCAGGAACCTGCTAGAACCAGTGAAGGCAGGCAGGCAAATTAGGACACCTGGAGTCAATTAAGAAGAAGCTGCTAGAATCAATTAAGGCAGGCTAATCAGGGCACCTGGGTTTTAAAAGGAGCTCACTTCAGTTTGTGGTGCGAGTGTGAGGAGCTGGGATCAAGAGGCGCAAGGAGCTGAGAGTGAGAGGGTGTGCTGCTGGAGAACTGAGGAGCACAAGCGTTATCAGACACCAGGAGGAAGGTCCTGTGGTGAGAATAAGGAACGTGTTTGGAGGAGGCCATGGGGAAGTAGCCCAGGGAGTTGTAGCTGTCATGCCGCTGTTACAGGAGGCACTATAGACAGCTGCAGTCCACAGGGCCCTGGGCTGGAACCCAGAGTAGAGGGCGGGCCCGGGTTCCCCCCCAACCTCCCAATTGACCTGGACTGTGGGTTCTTCCAGAGGGGAAGGTCTCTGGGCTGTTCCCCAACCCACATGGTGAATCTCTGAGGCAAGAAAATCCGCCAATAAGTGCAGGACCCACCAAGATAGAGGAGGAACTTTGTCACACTATCTATCTATCTATCTATCTATCTATCTATCTATCTATCTATCTATCTATCTATCTATCTATCATTTAATATTTGCCTAGTAGCACCTATTACTCTCACAATTTCTTATCACATTGGCTGCTGGGCAACCAAAGTGCAGCACTGCCTAGTGGTTTGGGCACTGGACAATGAGTGAGGCAATCTAGAAGGGCTGCTGGGCAACCAAAGTGCAGCACTGCCTAGTGGTTTGGGCACTGGACAAGGAGTGAGGCAATCTAGAAGCTACCTGTCTTCAATTCCTATCTGTATCTGACCTGTTCTGTAAGCTTGAGGAAGTCACTGTCAGGATCTCTCTGTGCCTCAGTTTCCCCCACTCTCAGATGAAGACAGTGGTACTACTTCTCTTTCACTGTGAAGTGTTTTTCAACCTGTGGGTGTAATGCACAGTACTAGGGCTAAGTGTGTTTTGCTAATGAAACTGAAGACTGAGAGATGACTTGAATGCCATGCATAAGTTCATTTATGGGGAGATAACAAGAGGTGCTCTAATGGAAAAAGCAGAACAAGAACCAATATCGGGAAGATGAAGCCAGAGAAATTTAAATGAGAAGTAAGGTACATTTTTTTAGCAATTAGGGTGATTAACCATTGGGAAAAAAACAACCTAGTGCAGTGATGGATTCTCCATTTCTTGAAGTCTTCAGGTACAGACTGATTGCCTTTCTGGAAGTTATGCTTCAGTCAAGCACAAGTCATGCTTTAATCAAATGCAAGTTGTTAACCTCAATAGAGGGGTAACTGAGTGAAATGTAATGACTTGTTATGTACAGATCCCATAGAAAATCTTCCTAGTTCCTTTAAAAATCTCAGCCCCAAAATCTGTCAACTTCTAAACTGCTGAAAAGATTTTCTCCCACCAGAAGCTTTTGATTCCAATGTAGTTAAATGAACATATCTCTGGAATAAGTCACCCAATGTTGAAACAGGCCCACAACGTTGAAATGTATTTTGAAAGAAAGAGGCCAGAGCCCCACTTAGTGTGAATCAGCGCACCTCTGTTGACCAGTTCAATAGTTCTAGGGGGAATCGGAGACACGGAAAAATGCAAAAGTTGGATGGGAAACATATCTGGAGGGTTGTGTCTTCTGGCCTGTGTCATGCAGGCTAGGTTATCATTATGGTCCTTTCTGGTCTCAAAATCTGTGACTCTACGAAGAAAACAAAGGTCCAAGACTTCATGCAATTGTATTATTAATTATTATTATTACTAATTAATATATTTGCTAAAAATGTAATCCCCCATCCACCAACAACATTTAAATTGCCTCTGAAGTCAGACTAATTTTTCTCATTCATGAACCACAGTTCTCCCCTCTCCCCTTCCGCTCCAAGCTCCCCTCCATCACCTGGAAAGGAAAAGTCAAGATATCAGCCAATGTCATATGATGACTCATTCCCTAGTGACAACAGCCAATGTCAGTCCTAAAATTCAGTTAAATCTGTGTTTGTCTATGTTTTAGCGCAGGATTTTCAAAGAAACCTAAAGGAAGTAGGTGATCAACTTCCATTTACTTTTAGTGAGTTTTAGGTGCTTAACTCCCTTTAAATGCTTCTAAAATTCCACCCAAAGGGTATGTCTACATTCATGGCAATGAGTCTCAGAGCCTTGGTCAATTGACTCAGGCTCATGGGGCTTGGGCTGCAGTGCAAAAAACTGAAGCGCTAAAACTTGGGCTGAGGCTCTGAAATCTCCCCTCTTCATGGGGTTTCTAAGTCCAGGCTCCAGGCCAAGACTTAAATTTTTAGCCCCTCAGCCCAAGTCCCATGAGCCCTAGTCTGTTGGCCTAGGCCAACCGTGGCTATGCCACCTGTCTTTTATTGCAGTGTAGATGTGCCCTAAGTGACATTCCAAAGATCTAAGAATGGAATACAGTGCTCCTAACACTCAGAGGCCCCTTTTAAAATCTCAACCTTGTTTTACAACCCCAAAAGGTCTTTTTTTTCTCAGAATGGTGGCCAGAGGCGTGGATCTTCCAGAATCTACTCCCGTGGGTCACCAGATCTCTTAATCCCCATCTCATTACATTTTACAGTCTGAAATCTTGCAAAAGCCAGAACCTTATTGAGAGCTTTTCTCAGGGCCTCTTTGACCTCTTTATTTCTCAGGCTGTAGATGATGGGGTTGACCATGGGGGTCAGGACTGTATAGAAGACAGAGAACATCTTGTGTAAGTCCTTTGAAGGGCGGGTGTTTGGAACTATGTAGACAAAAATCAGAGTCCCATAAAAGACTGTGACAATGACAAGATGAGCGGAACAGGTGGAAAATGCCTTTTGCCTCTCAGTGGCGGAAGGGATTCTTAGGATGGTGGTGATGATACAAACATAGGATGCCACGGTTAATAGAAATGGGATCAGTGACCCAATGGAAGACACTGTCAAAACTGTTAGTTCTAGAAGCCGGGTGTCACTACAAGAGAGTTTTATGATGGGGGAGAAATCACAAAAGAAATGGTCAATTTCATTGGAGCAGCAAAATATCAGTTTAGACATTAAAATGATTACTATGGTGCTGCCAAGAAAGCTGCTTGTCCAGGAACAAGCCACTAGCTGGAAACAAACTCTGCCATTCACCAGAGTGGCATAACGGAGTGGATTGCATATCGCTAAATACCGATCATAAGACATTGCTGCTAGCAGATAGCATTCTGTAGCTGCGAGGTTAGCAAAACAATAAAATTGTGTCATGCAGCCCCTAACAGAAATGGATCTGTCCCCAGTCAGGAGACTGGCCAACATCCTGGGCAGGATGGTGGAGCTGTAGCAGGTCTCCAAGCAGGACAAGTTCCCCAGGAAGAAGTACATGGGGGTGTGAAGGTGTCGATCAGCCACAACTAGTGCAACAATGAGGATGTTCCCAGCCATGGTCACAATGTAGATCATTAGAAACAGGGGGAAGAGAAAAATCTGTAGTTTAGGGACATGCCCAAATCCCAGGAGGATGAAATCTGCAATGGACGTTTGATTTCTACAATCTGTGCTTGCCATGGGATGTATCTAGGGGACATAAAGCAAAATCATCAAGAAGAAGATAAACTCAACTTTTAATTCAATTCAATGTGGAACTAGATGAAAATTAACAACCTTTGCAAAATAAGTTGAAGAACATTGCGCTGAACTGAAATTTCATTCAGTTAATTTCAGCAATACCCCAAATCCACTCCCCCTCTTCAGGGAATTCCCATCACTGGAGATTGTTAAGAACTGGTTAGATAAACACTTCTCAGATGTGGTCTAGGCATACTTGGTCCTGCCTCAGCGTGGTGGGGGTGAACTAGTTGTCCTCTTGAGGTCTCTTTGAATCCCCACGTTTTATGATTTTATGTTATTTGTTCATACCTAAGACCAATTGTCCCAGTGGCCTGGTACTGTGATATGTTAATTAAGATGTGGGTACCTACTTTCTCCACTAACAGAGCAGATAATAGCTGTGTTTATCTGGACACACCACTACACTTATGAAAGATTGATTTTAGGCATGTAGGTGATTTTGAAAAACCCATTAGGCACCTAAATACACCGCTACCCCGATATAATGTGACCCGATATAACACGAATTCGGATATAACGCAGTAAAGCAGTGCTCCAGGGGGGGCAGGGCTGCGGACTCCGGTGGATCAAAGCAAGTTTGATGTAATGCGGTTTCACCTATAACGCGGTAAGATTATTTGGATCCCAAGGACAGCGTTATATCGGGGTAGAGGTGTACTTTTAAAATTTTAAGTCACTTTTGAAAATAGGACTTATAATGTTAAGCTGCTTAGCTGATTCTGAAAATGTGACCCCTAATTCAGATTTAACTTCAGCAGTAGTTGAGTGTCTAAATCCTTTTATGCTCTTTAAGAATCACAGCCTTTGGCTACAATAAAAATTTCTCTGTGGCTGAATAATTATAAATGATTCTGTAACAAGTTATCAGTATTAACATAAATAAAGAAATAAACTGAACATTTACAATAAAAGAAAGAGATGAAACTAGTAGGTTTCTCTTTAAAAAAACTTTAAAAGCCCATAGAATTTAATTGAGAATGAAATCATTGCTTTAAATTTTTTAAACCAACCTAAGAAATAAATCTCTGCTAGACTGGTTTAAAAATTACTCAGAGAAGTTAAAACAATGAGGAGTCCTTGTAGCACCTTAGAGACTAGCAAATTTATTTGGGCATAAGCTTTTGTGGGCTAAACCCCACTTCATCAGATGCATGGCGTGAAAAATACAGTAAGCAGTATATATATATATATATAGCACATGAAAAGATGAATTGAATTCAATTGAATTGGCCTCCTTAGCACTGACTCCCAACTCAGTAAGGCAACTCCCATCTTTTCATGTGCTGTGTGTGTGTGTGTGTGTGTGTGTGTGTATATATATATACTGCTTACTGTATTTTTCACTCCATGCATCTGATGAAGTGGGTTTTAGTCCACAGAAGCTTATGCCCAAATAAATTTGTCAGTCTCTGAGGTGCCACAAGGACTCCTCGTTGTTTTTGCTGATACAGACTAACACGGCTACCACTCTGAAACCTGTCAGAGAAGTTATAATTTCTTCAGTGCCTTTAGCATTAGCCCATAAGGGAAAGAAAATAAGATAATTAGTGAAAAATATGTAGGTCCTGATTCAGAAAAAAAAATCCAACAACCCATCATGATTGCATTCAGGACATCACTGGCTATGTGCTTAAATTTAATTATGTACTGAAATCCCATTGGAGTTAATGGTTGAAACCTTGACAAAATGGCTATTGATTTAAACAGTGTCACTGAATTTACTTAAACAGGACTGACGCATATGTTTAGAGTTAAGCATATCCTTAAATTCTGTCCTGAATTGGAGCCAAATAACATTCAATGTTTTCAAAATGATTTATTAAAATCAATAATTCATTCATTTTCTCAGTAACCATGTGAGAGATTTGTTATTGTAGCACAGAAAGAAAGAAAGAAGGAGGGGAAATACAAAACTGAAACATACCAAAAAAAATTTTGGTAAAAAAAAATTGGAAACAATTTTATTAAAATTTTCATTTTTGGGGAAAAAAGTAATTTTGATTGAAAAATGTTGACCAAATGTTGATTGTATTAAAAATTCCTATAAAAGCAGTGTAAATTGACAAATACACATTTTTGTAAAGATGTTTAATGTGCTTAGCAGGATATCCAGAAGCACCTAGGTACCTACAACTAGGCAAATAGATGTCACTGAAAATCCCAGTAGGTGCTCAAACATTTTTTAAAATCTGACCCAAAATGACCTAATGTGCTCATCTTTTTCCATCTCCAAATCTGATTAAAAGACTTTAACTTTAAAAAGTGACAAAGATATATTTACCTCTAAGACAGGCCAGCTGCACTGTGGAAGCTTGAATATCAGATATCACCTTTCCATGCACCAGGATATGGTACTGCAGACTATTTTCTATCCTGATTCCTTCACACACCTCATATCTATATGGTAGGAGACCAGAATATTCCTGCCCTGTTTGTATCATTTTGTCTTGCATCCATTCCCACAATGTTTGCAACTCTTCTGATTTATTGTTTTCCCCCTATGTGAGAAGGTAACTTATCCCTTGACAATGCTTGAAATGGCTAAGGGAAAGAGACCAGTTCAATAATTTTCTAGATGGAATACACATCAGTGTTCATGTGACGAAAATGCTACTCTCCATGGTGATATTCTCAATGGAGAAGCAACTGAGAAAGCAAAACATCTAACCTCAGAGGAAAAGTAGTGGGGAGAGACACATTTTGAATCTCAAAGGAAAAGAAATGAAGAGAAGGAAAGTTCTGGCCTCAAAACAAATGTTTTCTGGTGTTAGACATAATGTTATTTTCACATTATCTATTTCCCACAAGCCCATGTTGAGTGGCATTCATTATATTATACACATTTCATACTATTTTTAATCAAGTCCCTTGTCAGTCTCTCCATCAACTTGCCCAGAATCTATATCAAACTGGCAGGCTTATAATTACTTTGGTTATACCATTTACACTTTTTAAATATTGGCAAACATTAGCTTTCTGTCTGTCTTCTGGAACTTCCCCAGACTTATTGAAAATCAACACAAATGGTCTAGCAAACTTCTCAGCCAGCTCTTTTTAAACTCTTGTATGCAAGTTATCCAGACCTGCTAATTTTAAAATGTCTAACTTTAGTAGCTGCTGTTTATCCTCCTCCTGAGATAACATTTCAATGCAAAGATTGTTATCATGTGTCATGACTTCATCATCTGTTTTCCCCCAATATTGAACAGAAATACTTGTTGAACATTTCTTCAGTTTCTGCATTATTTTGATAATTCTACCATTTCCATCCTAGTAATATACCAATACCATCCTCAGGATTTGTTTTGTTCCTAATATACTTTAAAAGCTCCTTATCATTCCTAACTCTGCTGGCCATATTGTCTGCTTGCTTTATTTCTCCTTTTCCCTAGTAGAGATTGTTAGGTTTTGTTCCATAAAAATTTCATGGAATGACATTTTGTTATCCTGCTCTAGACTTTGCTTTGAAATGAAAAGTCATTTCAAAACAATCAAAATGTTCTGTTCTGGAGAGATTGGTGAGCCACTTATTTATTTATTTATTTTGAATTAATTGACCTTGACACATTTCCACAAAATGTTTCACTATCAAATAATCAGCATTTTCTGATGGAGAAACGTTCCACTAGAAAAGTTCTGCTCAGCTCTGTTCACCATCTTCATCATAGAAATACAGATTTGGAAGGGAACTTGAGAGGTTATCTAGTCCACACACGCCCTGTTGCCAAAATTCCGATGCCAAAATATATTGTGTGAATTCCTGGCCTCCACTGAACTCTTGCAAAACTCTCATTGAGGTCAAGATTTATCTATTTTGACCAAAACAGGAATGGATAGTTTCATTTCAGTGCTGAACAATACCTGGATTCTGAAGTTGAACTTCCTGCCTCCTATTGGGACACTTTCCTTTCTTTACCTTATTTCTCCTCTTTCCTGCTGGTGGTGGTTGGGTACTTTTTTTGTTTTGTTTTGTTTTGCTTATCACTCCCTGGAATATTTCAACTTTTTCTTGCAAAACTGAAAACTCCAAAATATCCTAGCTGAAAATTGGTAAAAACTGAAAAAGAAAAAAAAATCAGCTGAAAACATTCACTGAAATCAATGGAGTTACACTGCCATAAATCTGGAGTAACTCAGTAGTTAATCAAGCACACATTTCCTTCATGTCTTGGGTATCTTCATGGCGTTGATCATATTGCTGTGATGGGCTGTGCAATAGAAATGCAGCCTGGATTCTATGAGCACTCTCATTGGTGAAGGAAGTAATTTATTGTCTTACAGGATGGGGCACAAAGAATTCTCAACTGCTATGGAGTTGATGTAAGGCCAAAGACTTTGGTGGAGCTATGCAGATTTACAACAACAGAGGAAATGGTCCTTTCTCTAAATACAAATACAACAGTTCCTTGCTGTTTTACTTTTGGGACAACTTCCTTTCTTTAATGTTGATTCATCCAATTCAGTGCTAAACTAGCCAATAGGAGATATTGATGACTGGGGTTAGACCTAAACACTGATCTTGATCCCATCAAGCTGCATGGGGGGGTTAGGGAGAGATGGGGGGGGCAGGACTGGGAATGACTCCATATGCTGATGGTTCGGGCACCAACATGGAATCAGTCTTCTCTTCTCCAAACTAAACAAAACCCAATTCTCTCATAGGTCAAGTTTTCTAGACCTTTAATCATTTTGGTTGCTCTTCTCTGGACTTTCTGCAATTTGTCCACATTTTTCCTGAAATGTGGCACCCCAGACTAGACACAATATTCAAGTTGAGGCCCAAGCAGTGCAGAGTAGAGTGGAAGAGTTACTTCTGGTGTCTTTCTTACAACATCTCCTGGCTAATACATCCCAGAATGATGTTTGCTTTTTTTGCAACAGTGTTACACTGTTGACTCATATTTAGCTTGTCACCCACTATGATCCCCAGATACCTT